ATTAATATTTATTTGCACTATCTTGGATTTCATTGATATTTAAGAAAAATAATTCTTTTAAATTCTTTGTCCTGCATTACATTCATTTTAATTTCTTTGACTTTCATTACTAGAGAGATATGAACTTTAGGTGGTGTCATACTGCATTGTTTTTAAATATTTGTTTTCTATGTTAAGATCTGTGCATCTATTGGGTTTGGTTTCTCTTCTACTCTTATGCAAGGGCCTTCTTTGTTATACAGTGTTTTCTTTCTTGTTGTGTAGTGTTTAGTTCCAACTGGACTTCATATTGTAGCTTCCTTCTGGCTTCTCTGGCAGTGATTAGTGGATTTTGACACAGTGTGCACTATATTAGAGTGTGAGGGACATGCTTTCCCTGTAAGTCTCACTGGAGTGTGACTCCTCTGGTAATCAGGCAGGTACACTGTAAACAGCACAGTTCATGAGGTATACCCTCTGTGTGACTCCTACAGTGGGAATGGAAATCCCTATCAGGTTTTTAGGGTTTCCTTGGTCTCTGTTGATACTAGTTCTGTTAATTCAAAACAATTCTGCTATTGGATACTCCAATAATGGCAAATGAATTAGAGCTTTCATGCTCTTCTTAGACACTGGTATGGCCCTAGGTTTTTTACAGGGAAAGGCAGAGACCAGGGTCACAGTTCCCCTTCAGTAGCAGCACTGGCCTCCAGTCTTGTCAGCAGTGTGTGATCTGATAAGGTAAAGAAATGGTCAATCATGAGGTCCCTTATAGTTTAACAGTTATACTATTTCAAAAACAGGTAGCAGGAAAAGGAGAAAAGGGGGAAAAGAAAAAAAGAAAGAAAACATTAAACATTAAAAAGAGGAGAAAAGAGAAACAACATCCACCAAAGCATTAATAAAAAACAAACAAACAAACAAATATAAAAATTCCTCTCTGTTGATGGAATGAGTGAGTGAGCGAGAGTAGAAACTTGCACCCTATACCCATCAGAGCTGCTCCCCCTGGCATCCTAAGTTGTGCACCTCTTAGAGAAAAGGCTGGGGGTTATTCACACTCCTTTTTCCTTTGTGGTGCTCCTCAGGCAACTTGCGGGAGTGATTTGTGACTAGCTGCAATTTCTCACAGCTGCTTTGCATGCTGGAACAAGCTAGGGTAGACAACAGAGCTCCCTAGAAACAAATTCTCTCTGGCACTATCTGGGTTATCCATACCTAGAGCAGGGCAGACCTGGAATGATGAGGTGGCTCATCAAGGATCTAGCAAAGATGGAAGAACTCCCCCAAGTTTTTCTCTGGATCTGGGCACTCTAAAGGGCTGAAGTAACACTGGCTCTGTGGCGTCCCCTATTCATGGTGAATTGACTGGAGAAGTTCTCTGCACCTCTTGAGAAGGGCCATATTACCTGAGCCTGCTTCTTTGAGAATTAGCCAGAGAGAGAATAGAAGCAAGCTCAGGTAATATGGCCCTTCTCAAGATGGCACCCAGTTAAAGCACTATGATAATATGTGGGAGGTGCAGAGAACTTCTCCAGTCAATTCACCATGAATCCTGTGTCAGCAGTGTTTACTGGAACTCTCCTTTTTTCTCCTTTACTATGGATGCAGGGACATTCCCTCCCTTTGTTACATTTCTGTGCAGTGGGTGGTGAGTTGTATTGTTTCACTTTCTATTTCACTAACAACTTCTCTGGGTTTCTCCAAGTCTCTGTCCATTGTTGAACTCTAGCATTCTTCCATGTGAAACCAAGAACGGCTACATTCGTTGTTCTAATTATGTCTTGTGAAGATATGAGCCAGTGCTGGATAACTCCAATCCACCGTTTTAGAAAGGTATTCTAATATTCTAAGACTTTCTGCAAAGAAAAATTTAAAATGTCACTTCTATAATGCTAATCAATTACTCATGCCCTTAAGTAACTACAAATTTCAAAACCTGTAGAACAGTTCTTCTACAGATATCTTGCTTAACTTTGGGTACTCAGCTTTTTAGAGCATGTATCAACTTTAACTCCCATTTTATCCTTAGTAACCCTGCTAGAATTCAGGCTTATTAGAAACTCATCTCTTTCAGTCAGAAGTTCTATGGTTCAAATATCAATAACTTTTATAGTTATTTTTCTACTGAATGCCATCTCAACTGATGCCTAATTCACTATCACCCTTAAGCTTTTGCTATGTTTGGTTAAAAAGTTAAATTTGAATTTATTTTATGTCACTTTTGCTAGAATAGATTCTGGTGTCATAGTAGAACACCCTCAAACTAGTCTGCAGTTAAATTCCCTCCTCACACTTTACTTATGGATGCTAGGATTCTTAAGGTGGTCATATTTATTTTCTTAGAGTCTCACTGAAGAGTTTTTTTTTTATTTTAAAAATGTTGCTTAAAAAGTCATGATCCTATTTCCTTCGTGGAAAATTCTTGTTTAAAAATTATTTGCTGTGTTCATTTTTTCACTTTCTAAAACAACATATTTTGGGGATTGCTTACCATATTCTGTAGTGATTTCTCTCAAATATCAAGAGAACATTAATTATACTATTTAATTTTTTATTTCTTTGGTAGCAGATGATTTTGAAGGAAGCAGATAAGTAGGAAAAGACTTGAAAAACAATGTGATGGTAGAAATACTGTTAAAAAGTTCATGAAAGAAAAAGATAATGCATCATTTAATTAATGTTATATATACACACACAGAGAGATAGATAGATAGATAAATGCTTCTCTGTGGCTTCCTCCAATTTATACATTTTCTGAATGTAGTATATAAAAAATGGTGCTAGTTTACTTCGTACTGGGGTTGGATATGGTTTGAGTGTCCCCCTCCCCCCCACAAAGATTCAATTGCTGGAAGTTTAGTCCCTGGTATGGTGGTGGTGAAGTGGTGGTACCTTCAAGTGGGGCACAGAAGAATGCAATTAGGTCACAGGAGAATCATCCTAGGAAGGGAGTAATGCTGGTCTCACAGAATGAGTTAGTTCTCTTGAGTGGCAGTTGTTATAGTAAGAGCAAGCCTGGCTCTTGAATCTCTCTTGGTTCCTGTCTTGCCATGTTTTATCTTCTGAATGCATTCCTGCTTCCATGATGCCATATGCCATCTTAAGACATGCCAAGGGGTGCTCTCACTAGAGGCCAACTGATGGGGCTGCCCAATCCTGGAATTTCAGCCTCCAAAACTGTGATATAAATACATCTTTTTGGTATAAAGTTCCAGCCGCAGGCATTTTATTATAGCAAGAGAAAACTGATTAGTAATGCAATGGTCATATACCATTTTTTAAATATATCTTAGAAACGTTAAATGCCCATAAAAAAGAGATGAACTATCAGTAACACATAAATGTACCAAAATAGGTACATGATAAGAAGTGTCTGAAAAATACATCAAGATGAGTTGAAAAACTCATAAAATATTGCCTTATTTTTCACAAGATACACACACATTTTGGGCCAAATTTCTTTTACAAAAGAAGAATACTTTACTATATTTCCTTGTTGCATCCTTCACAAAGCTTCAGAAGTTCTGCAAAATAAACATCACCATTTCTTTGGAGGGGTTCAACATCTTCCAGCACAAATATACAGAAGGAAAAAAATTGTAATATAAATATTACAGTTTACTTATTCACACTTGGTAGTTTTTAAAAATATATGTGTATTCATAATTTACATTTTGCTAAATGAATGCAACTTTTGAACAGCTCTTATGTTTGGAGTAAGGAAAACAGTCTGGTCCATAGGACTTTCGACATTAAAACGGCAAGCATTTCATCCAGATGTCAAAACAGGAAGAACTTCTGGCATAATCAGCACTGATAATAGTACAAGAAAATACTAGTTAATCTTTCTGATGAAGAATTCTAATAAAGGACAATCTGTATTGAGTTTGACTTTGAGTATGATAATGTAGAGCTGTCTAGCCCCTATCTGTTGTTCAACATATTGAATTTGCTCAACTCATTCATTTCTGATTATGAATGGACTTATTTTTATGTGGTCATATATTTAAAATAAATATACTTAAAAATCACACTTAATAAGATGCTCAACAGTAGTGATGTTTTGTAAGACATTCATGGGTAAGAATGTAGCACACATAAAGAACCCTCTGTGCTGCTAGTTTTTCCCTTAAAATTTAGTTATTTGTTACTGATAATTTAAATTCATTCCCATACGTGTAAAATTAAACAGTGTAGTCAAGAGACAAGTTGGTGGCTTGTGATGAGGGCAACTGAGTTAACTTTTCCTTCCTTCATTAGAGTAAACATGGTGAAAATCACCCAGTCTTTCTTCATCTTTAAAATTAGAACTGCACACAGATAAGGATAGTTTTTAAAGATAAAATTAGATAACATAGAGGAAAAAATGGTTGATACGTTTAAAATTTAAAAAGTTAACTTGGTGTGATACTAATAACATGCAAGTATTAACTTGTAACATTATTCCTATGCTAACCTAGAAGATGTATGACCTAGGATGTTGCTGATCTTTGATAGGTTCTGAATAAATGTGTTATTTATTCAGAAACATGAAAAACATGAGAAAAATCATTTCATAAGCACCGTCTTCCTGAAAAACATAGGTGATTTAGTTTCCCAAATGAATTTTAACTTTTACATAAAGCACTTTGATCAATTGCTACTCAACAAACACTAACTTGGCAGCAAAGAGACCTCAGTATACTGTGTCAGGAAAGCATCTGTGTGTATGTATTGGAAAAGGAATGTGTTTGACAGTGGTGTCTGAAATTATTGATATTTGCCCTATGAAGGAAGCAAATGGGTGGACTCAAATTCCTTACATGGCTACTTGTTCTGCCTGCACTGCATGGTGCTTCTACTTAATCATCTCATTTTTTGTTGTTGTTGAAAGGATCAAAGAATAGAAGCAGCTGAAGATGGGAAATCTCTGAGAAGAATAGATAATTTGATATGGAAAGATTAAGACTGGAATACAAATATAGGAGGAAGACTAGGTAGAGAGCTCTGAGAGAGGGAAGTATTATGCTTGACAGCTGTTTCTTAGCTCTCCTTTCCTTTCATACAAGCTTGAGAAAATAATTTCATAGTTTATTTCCTACCTTCTGAAGCCATTTTTGATAAGAGAAGGAGCACAGAGAAGAAGAAAGGAAAAATGGCACCACTTTAAAGTGTAGTCGGGCTAGTATCCAAATCTCCCACTCCTTCTGTGTATGGGTTTCCTGAAAGCTCTCCATGAAGCTTCTAGGTTACTGCCTCTCATTGTGAAGGAAATAATTCATGGTTAGAGGAAGATGTTCCCAAGAGCCCAGTCAGGCCATTGTACTTTCTGGTTAAGTCTAAAAGGAAAATGAGAAGCTAGTGGAGCGTCAATTCAATTGGTAGAATGAATGTAAGGAACTTCCAGAATGTAAGGAACTCACATACAGGTCTGAACCAAGGCTATGAAACTCCTTTAAGGTAACATTTCCTTATTGTAAATTTTTTTTTCCTATATGGAGAATGAAGATCTACTATGTAAAGTTCTGATTTTTGGAAAAAGTTTTAAAGAAATAATCTACTTAAAATAATAAGTACACTGTCTGGCACATAATAACAAACTCAATGATGGTAACTATTATTAATGCCCAAACTGAATTTTTTCTTATTGTGCTAAGCTCAGATTATTTGTTACCGTAACTTGCAAATCCAGGTCAAATAATTACAAGTGTTTTCTTTTCCCCTCAAAAATGTATGTAAGACTTTTAAAAAATATTTATTTTTTAGTTATAGGTGGACACAATATCTTTATTTTCATGTGGTGCTGAGGGTCAAACCCAGTGTCTCTCACATGCTAGGTGAGCGCTTTACCTCTGAGCCATAACCCAGCCCCTGTAAGACTTTTTTTTAAAAATATTTTTTTAGTTGTAGATGGACACAATATCTTTATTTATTTTTATGTGGTGCTAAGGACCAAACCCAGTGCTTCATACCTGCGAGGCAGGTGCTCTACTACTAAGCTATAGCCCCAGACTTTTAAAACTTCAGAAAAGACTTTTTACTCATTCAGAAAGCAACCTAGATTAGATTGCCTATTATTTCAGTTTTGTGGTCGTCTGAACTTTGTCAACTATTAACATTACATTGTCATATTTTTTCCCTTTTAAATGAGGAAATGCAAATTTCTTACCAAGTAGTTACAGAAGCTAGAGTTTACCCAAACAAAAAAGAAAGGTGTGTCCATCTAAACTTAAGAGTAACTATGTTCAGAAGTATCTTGGCTGTGAATGTGTTTGGGAGAATAGACTATCTCATTTGACAATTATTTTGATTATCTAGAAAAAAGTAAAGTTATGTTTGTAACTGCAACATCTCCAACTTCACATAAGGATGAATATATTTTCTCAGAATGTAAATATCTGTTTTATGACAGAGAGAAAAAGAATGATAAACAACATATGCTTTCATCCAATACTATGTAGCAAGAAACCATTATACATTAGGCACATATTAATCCAGTTAAAGATTAAATTGCCCACCAAGGCACTGCCAAAAGTAAGATATCCCAGATGTTCTAGTGAAGCAGGCAGTAGGGTCTGGATTATGGTTGCAAGTGGGGATTGCTTTGTCAAAGTTTAAGTAAGTGTCAGCCACAAACCACTGGCAGCTAGGAGAAATGGGGTGTTTCCCCTCTGTTATGGGGAACCCATTTTTTCCTCCTCACAGAGTGTGATGCAGACGACTCTGGCTTCAAGCTCTGCTTCTACCTCTCAGTTAAGTTCTCTGTTCTTGAGAAAGATCATGGGAGCAGCTGGGTAGAGAATGGCAGCCTCTGCTTAGGAGAGGATCCTCATCAAGAGAAAGGGGCTGCTGTGGCTCTAACTGTAGTACAAATTGGAGTTAGGCCCTTGTGTGCAGATCACCTGATAGCTTCCTGAATAAAGTGCAGATTCCCTCAGCCCCACAGGTCAAAATCCAGGTATTCCCAGATGCTCACCAGCTTGAAGATTATTGTTTTTTTTTTGTTTGAGCAAAGACTAAAATAACTACAAAATAATGTTTTTATTCACTGCAGTGAATCTAACATATGATTCACCCCTTTGGTCTTACTTTAATAAGTTGCAGAAATTTATATCAGCCTTTGAATAACTACATTTAAAGGTTCTTAGTTCTTTTAAAAATCTTTTTTTTTTTTTTTTTTTTTTTTTTTGCTATTTGTGGTTTCTCAGCTTCCAGTGAGCAGATGGTAGTAAGCAACAGACATCCCATTCCCGGTAATGAAGACTAAACAATACACAGTCAAAATGTGTTGGATCCAAAGCCTGATCTTTCAGGTTATTAGATATAGAACATGGGCAAGTCCTCAACCTCTTAGTTCTTGTTTCTGAATCCCTATGACATGGAATACTTTCTTGAAGATTAAATGAGGTACGTGTAAAGAATTCAGCTAGAGTTCCAAGAATGCCCACAAACCTTACCCCAATCCCATGTCATATGTCAAGGGAGTCCGCATATTCTATCTTGAATATTCTCTGTACTCTTCCTTTTGTGAATAATACAATGCCTTTCTCCAATTTTTCCAAACTATGAAAGGAAAGTCCATTTGTTTTTAAAGATCCAGCCTCAAATGACACCTCTTTTCTGGATTTCTCTACAATACCCCATGGTAGTTAATCCACTATCCCTCTCTAAGTTGGAACACAGTTCTCTCATCGCACAGATGCAAATGAATCATAATTATGTACCGGTGTGTCAGGTTCACTGCACTGGGTGAAATGTTGTCACTCTTAAATCCTCATTACTTGATGCTTGTTAACTCAATAGGTGATCAAACTATCTATTCAATACCCTGGATAGGATGTATTCATGTGAGGATGGCTGGGCAGGAGACTCTATCGATACACTTGTAAGAAATTAATAGGCTTACCAATTAGTGTAATTGTTCCAGGTTCCCTTCATCCAGCCCCCACAGTGTTCATGCGCTGTGCTAGAGGAGGCTGGCCTCTGCCACAGGTCTGGTCGGGTTTCTCCATTTGGGGACACAGCCAGCTCCGCAGGGCACCGGCAGGGGGCGGCGTGGTAACGCAGCTGGATGCTCTGAGGTTGACACCCCCGCACTTTACCCCTCAACCTCCGAGTCACACAGCTCCCGCGATTAGGTCGGGGGTTCCCCCACCTTAGAGGGGGCGCACTGTTCTCTCAGACTGGGGTGGCCGCGGTTGCTCAGGGCCTTTGGAGAGGTTGTATTAGTTTTCCAGGCGTTCCCCCGCTGGTCCCACCTCAGCATCCCGCAGCGTCTAGGTAAAGGGAAAATTGCCCTGGATTACTTTGGAAAAAGGTAAACGGCTGCCGGGAAAAGTGGAGAGCTTTCTAGCAACCACTGTGGCGCGAGTGCGCGCAGGGATAACCATTACAACTCCTTTAGCTGTGCCCAAAGACTGAAGCTGAAGGGGAGAAACTATATCCTTTAAATTCATCCTTTACGTCTCGTGGGAAATCAAATTATATCCTACTAACATTTTATTCACCTGAAAGCGCAAAGTTTAGAGGGCTGAGAGGAACGTGCTTGGTCGTCTCCGCTTCTCTTCCAGGTTATATGTCGCGGTGCGCTGCGCTGCGCAGCAAGCCACACCACAACTGGGCGGCCGGGCTTTCGACTGGGCCGGGCTCCACGAGCCGCGCTCCGGGCCCGCCCCGACCTCGGCGATTGGCTGCTGGCCCGCCGGCTGTCTGCTCGGTGACGCGCGCCGGCCCCACCGCGCTCCCGGACTCTCGAAGCCTCTGGTGCGCAGGAGCCCGACGCTCGCGCCCGCCCCCGCGTCTCATCCTGCTTAGGGCTGCCTCCAGTCCTCCTCCGCCTTCCCCCCACCTTCCCCCCACCTTCCGCCCCTGTCCCGCCCTTACTGTGGCCCGAGGTTTCGAGAAACGAAACCCAGTTATCAGCAAGCCCTTCCCTTCACGCACAGAGTCTATTTGAGTGGACTCCTTAGTGCACACTTGGACCAGTTTATCAATGGAGTAACTGGTCTAGTAATACAGACGCAGTTTAAAGGGAGGTCGTGAGGAACCTCCGGAACCCCACATTACGCTATAATGACGCGTTGTATCTGGCGAGAATCTTATGATTGGGAAGTTTATGCACTTGCGTGATTTTAGTCCTTATGCACCGTTGATGGCTGCTTATGGGCATTTTAGGTTCCCCAGGGGGAGGTTCGAGCGGGGCGTACATAAATTACAAATATAGACGTGTGTATATGCGTGTGCGCACATCTGTGCAGACACACGCATCTGCACATACACACGACTAGCGGCCCCGCGCTCTAGGTCGTCTGTCCGCATTGCCTAGCAGAGGTTGACTGTACGCCCAGCATTGGGTGGTGGTGGGGGTGGTGGTAGAGGGCGGCACCTTATGCAGATGAGGAGGGTGTGGCGAGCGCGCCGTGCTAGGGCCCCGGAAGCACGGAGAAGCCCGGTATAAAAAAAGTACTGAAGACATTTCCCCCGCACAACTGCTAAAGCTCCAGAGACGGGAGCGTGTGCGGCGGCAGCAGAAGCCGCCACCTCCGGGACCACTCAGCGGGAGTGACAGAGGCGCGGGTGGGGGCAAGGGGCGGGAGTGGTCAGTGCGGGCAGCTGGGTCTGGGAAAGACGAAGTCGCTAGCCTTTGCTGGGAGCGCACTCGCAGCTCCTGGAAGTATTGCCGCCTCGCGGTTCCTCCTTCGCTGCGCTCCTAGAAGGGGCGGCCGCCTCCAGGTGACACAGACGGGACTCTCGCTTGCACTTTCCAGATGCATCAGAGATACTTTTGGTGCGGGGCTGCTCTGCGGGACGCGGCGCGCGGCTGGGAATGACCAGGGCTGTGGGAGGAAGAGATTGTGGAACCCCAGGGCCAGAGGCGATTCGGGGAGGGGGCGCGCTCTTTGCTGTATGAGCCTTTGATCTCCGATGGCCCAAGTCCTTACCATATTTTCCTCCCATTCTTTTCTTTTAGGATTGACCAGGGCCAAGTGGCATTCGGCGGACACTACATGGCGGAGGGTGAAGGGTACTTTGCTATGGCCGAGGACGAGCTAGCCAGCGGCCCGTACATCCCCCTGGGTGGCGACTTTAGCGGCGGTGACTTTGGCGGCGGCGGCTGCAGCAGCTTCGGTGGGCACTGCTTGGACTATTGTGAAAGCCCCACTGCTCACTGTAACGTGCTGAACTGGGAGCAAGTGCAGCGGCTGGACGGCATCCTGAGCGAGACCATCCCGATCCACGGGCGCGGCAACTTCCCCACGCTCGAGTTGCAGCCGAGTCTGATCGTGAAGGTGGTGCGGCGGCGTCTGGCGGAGAAGTGCATAGGCGTCCGCGATGTGCGCCTCAATGGCTCGGCCGCCAGTCACGTCCTGCACCAGGACAGCGGCCTGGGCTACAAGGACCTGGACCTCATCTTCTGCGCTGACCTGCGTGGGGAAGAGGAGTTTCAGACTGTGAAGGACGTCGTGCTAGACTGCCTGTTGGACTTCTTACCCGAAGGGGTGAACAAGGAGAAGATCACACCACTCACGCTCAAGGTAAAGCCACTGGAGACGGGCTTAGGTCCTGACCCTCGCGGAGCCCAGCCAGGCTTCCGTGGGGAACCTAGGGCAGAGGGAGTATGGTTAAAAGTCAAGTATCCGCGGTTGTCATGCGTTTGGGAGCGCTATTTCTATTATTTATTATTTTCTCAATGAGTGAACTAAGGTGCGTGGATGATATTAAGTGTTTTAGTTTACTTGGAGCTTCAGCGCCACAACTCTCTGCCGCTTCCTCCTAAGCAACCCCCCCCCCTTTCGCTTCCTTCTTATGGTTTAACTCTTGGCTTTCCTGCTGGAGTCTTATCTACAGTAGATTCTGAAAAGGGGGGGAATGAAACAGTGTAGTGTAAATAAGATTTTTTTCAGTCATTTTATAATCTAATCTTTGGGAAAATAGCAGCCTGAAGCAGAACTGAGTCAATGGGTTTTTTTATTGTATTGGAAAATATGAATAGATTTCGTCGCTGCATTCAGCTGACTCCATGTGTTAAAGATATATTTGTTGATTCTCCGCATTGATTCACATTTTAAGGGTATAATGGCAATCCCCACTACCACACAGTGGTTCGAGTCACATTTTCTATTAGTTGAAATTGTCTGAGGACAATTTAGTTCATATTTGATTGTAACTCTGCAGTTCCTCTGGAGGGACATAGGAGTTACTGATAACACTGATTGCCTCAGGGGAGGGGAACTGGGTGGCTGGGGACAAGGGTGAGAGGCAGACCTACATCACTGTATACCTTTCTGTGTCTTTTTAATATTATGTGGCTACTGTGTGAATGTTGTGCCTATTAGGCCATTTTCAAAAGTCAGACATGACAACAGAACCTTTAGTACTCTGCTACGTCTGCCAAAAGCCTCAAACTATTACTTCTCCTCTCTTTCCCAGACAGTTAAACTACTCGTTAAATGGATTTCTTTTTTTCCTGTTTTCAGAAGACTGTTTAAGCCTACAGGTAGTGTTTTGCTGAAACTTGACAAAACAAAAGGGAGAGAACAAAATAATTCTCAGCTGTGGAGAGAGGATGTATTTATTTATTGTTTTTTTTCAAGGTTTGCTCATCTTGTTTTATCTTTTAAATTGTAGGAAGCTTATGTGCAGAAAATGGTTAAAGTGTGCAATGACTCTGACCGATGGAGTCTTATATCCCTATCAAACAACAGTGGCAAAAATGTGGAACTGAAATTTGTGGATTCCCTTCGGAGGCAGTTTGAATTCAGTGTAGATTCTTTTCAAATCAAATTAGACTCTCTTCTTCTCTTTTATGAATGTTCAGAGAACCCAATGACTGAAACATTTCACCCCACAATAATTGGTGAGAGTGTCTATGGTGATTTCCATGAAGCCTTTGATCACCTTTGTAACAAGATCATTGCCACCAGGAACCCAGAAGAAATCAGAGGGGGAGGTCTGCTTAAGTACTGCAACCTCTTAGTGAGGGGCTTTAGGCCTGCCTCTGATGAGATCAAGACCCTCCAGAGGTATATGTGTTCCAGGTTCTTCATCGATTTCTCAGACATTGGAGAGCAGCAGAGAAAACTGGAGTCCTATTTGCAGAACCACTTCGTGGGTTTAGAAGACCGCAAGTATGACTATCTCATGACCCTTCATGGAGTGGTGAATGAGAGTACCGTGTGCCTGATGGGACATGAAAGAAGACAGACTTTAAACCTTATCACCATGCTGGCTATCCGGGTGCTAGCTGACCAAAATGTCATCCCTAATGTGGCTAATGTCACTTGCTATTACCAGCCGGCCCCCTATGTAGCAGATGCTAACTTTAGCAATTACTACATTGCACAAGTTCAGCCAGTATTCACATGCCAGCAACAGACATACTCCACTTGGCTACCCTGCAATTAAGAATCATTTAAAAATGTCTTGGAGGAGGGGAGCCATTTCAGACCAGATTGTGGGGGGGGGGGAGAAAAAACAACAACAACAAAAAGGAGTGACCCAGTCCTAATTTGGGATGTGTTTTGTGCAGTGATGATATGTTCCTGGTTTTAAGCTTGGCAAAGCTCATGGATCTTTTCTTTGGTATGGGAGCATGATCTCTAAAAAGTTTTCCTCCTTAATTCTCCCCTTTTCCTTCTACCCAACTGGATTCTATCTTGAAACAAGAGACCTGTCATTAAAAACAACCAGGTCCTTCTAAGATAATAAGGGAAAAAAAATGCTTGATGACAATATGGGTTTGCAACAACTGCTCCCATAGCTTTGCCATAGGAGATAAAAAGTGGTAAAGAAACTTTTAAGGCAGAATTCACAAAAGGGAAAATTTAGAGGAATAAAAAGTCTTATCCCACCTTGTTTATCAGTTCAGGAGTTCAGATAGTAACTGTACAGGAAGGGAAGCTCTCATGTTGGGATTACTATCTGAGGCTCTTAGTAAGTGCTTTCTGTGGAATGATCCTTTTGAGCTAACAGAAACTGCTTGCTCCAAGTGAACAGTAGTAGGTTGGTGCAGTTCTCATAACAAACAGCAGAACTTATGATGACACAATCCATTAATTCCAGCTGCGTGCATAGCTCGCATTTTTAAAATGTGAAAATGCAAGCAAAAACAGCTGTAGCAAAGAAAATGTGCTCAAGGACCAAAGATTAACAGATTAAAAATACCCTAGTAGAAGAGATATAGTAAAATATATAAAGAGTTACTATATTTGTTACACACCAATATTCATCAAAGTGCCTGTTGCTTTCTGAAAATTTGAAGTGGAAAATTATTTTATGGTTTAATGATTAATTTTATTTTATCAGGGACTCAAGAAAATAAAACAACATATAAGCTTGTGAATAGTGGAGGAAATGCCCTATTTTTCTTGGCAAATAGCTGCACTGTTGGTGTGATATTATCTTAGGTATGTGTGTATACTATGTGTGTATATATGTACATATGACATGTACATATATATGCACTACTTTGATTATGATCTAGAACAATGTATCAAATAGGAAATGTTTAAATACCGTGTGCTTTTATGTTTTCAATAGAATGACATGAGAAGTGGGCATATTGCAATGATGAATTAAAACCCACATCTAAAAGAATTAAAGCAATTGAAAGGAGGAAACAAGTAATATATTTGATAGGAAGAGTGGAGGTAATACATTTTTAGTGACTTTTCTTGTTCATTTGTTTGTTTGTTTGTTTTATTTTATTTTTTTTTTGTGAGCCAAAGAATCCCCAAAATGGGAGTATATCTGTTGGGCAGAACACTCTTTTTTTTAAAAAAATTAACTGCCATGTTGTCAGTTTGAACCCATTTTTTTTTAAATAATTGTGTTCCTCCATGGTGTATAATATCATGGATTATGGATCAGTGATAGGCTACTTAAATCCCTAAAAATAATTTCTGGTGATCTGAATGCTACTTATTAATATTTAAATGAACTTAAATAAATGCATTCTGCATTTCTGTACCACTAGAATTTACTAAATGTGAAATGACCCTTTTTAAAGAATATTTGCACAATTGCATAAAGTTTATATATGAGATATATATTATATATAACATTTTATAAATTTATGCCAATATGAAACATCTTTGATCTGGTTGTCACACTGCATCTAAATATTTAGTACTGTACTTATAATTAAATCACTTTGCATTAAGTCATACCCAACTTTATTTTCTCTTTTCCAAGAGACCATTTATACTTTTGTGAAATGAACTGTCATTACTGTTTTCAATTTGATGACAGCTAATCCCAAAACTGCCCCTTCTCCCTCTCCTCTAAACACTGGTTTCTGAAAATACATTTGTTAAAACAAAAATAATACATAAAAACTTTCCCTTTGTGTTGTGAAACCACCATATAATCCCCATCTGCCCTAATAGATGAATGCTTACTATGATAATTGCTTTTTGGACCCAACCAGAAGATTTTTGTCATCAGTTAAAGAGGGACTAAGGAAGAAAATAGCATCCGCCTGTTGGCAGTGTAATTTTGCTTGTCTGCCTGTTTGTTGTCTGGGCATCTCTTAGATGCTCAGCTCAATGCTAGGTTAATCCAGGTAAACCTGTCTGGACTACCTTTTATGCATCTTTCTTTGAAGCCTTAACAGGAATCTGGTGGTTTGGCTATAGCAGCTTCCCTGTGAATTCTATCAGAGCCTCTGCACTGCCACTCGCTGTTTTCTAGGGAACTCTTCCTTCCCCATGTTGGCTCAGTCTCCTTCATTTCCAGCCCTGGGTTTGAAAAATTAATTGCAAAGTCCCAGGGATATTATTCTGTTTGCAGATTAAGCCTGGCACTCATTTGTCATAAACCAGAGCTCTGTATGCTTAGGTGTTTTTAAGTTTTCTAAAAGAAAATAAAGGGAATGCTTAGTACAGAGGAGCAACTGGTGATCTGCTTTCTTCTCATCCTAACTCTTGACACATGAGTTGTCTACTATTTTGAAGAGTCTGGAAATCTCTGGCTCTTCTATAGCAGCAAACTGCTGTTAATGTATGACACAGATTTTTGTTTGGAGGAGCCTTATTTGATAATACACTTTTCATTTATTTTCTCAAATATTTATATTATTTTCTTGCTTACTTCAGAGTTGGTAGCATAGTTGGAAGTGCCAGCACCTGGCATTCGGATAGATGAAGCTATACTCAAGACAACTTTCAGCAGTTACTTTAAGACATATAATTTATTTCTATTTTGTATGTACTATAGTCCTGTGCATATGTAGTTCAACATACAGTGGAATATATGTCTCTCTTTGTGGATGTGTGGCTTAAAAACTTTGAATGTCTGATGAAAGCAAGCCGTGTGTATAGGTCAGAAAAAAGAACAGCTCTCAACTCCTGTTTAGCGCCTGTGATATTGTTTGCTTTTGTTTATCTGGCCTAGTGTGCTGTTACTTTGAAACTGGAAGAAGTTTTTATCTTTTGGGGGCTCTTTTCACCTGTCCAATCTGGCACGTCAGAGAACATTTACCTGTGACAGTGCCCTTTTGAAAAGTTACTTCAGTAAATCCAACTGCTTCAAGAACACTTACACCAAGATGGACTTTTCCCTTTCAGAAATGGGATCAAGTATCTACTCACTTTGGTATTAGGTGGACTGTTTTAATGTGGTTCCAAAAAATGCAAGATGGAAGACTCTCTGTAATCTATAATCCAAACCAAGAAGGAAATGAAATGAAAAGTGAACACAGCTGTTTTTACTGCCCCTTTCTGTTTGCTTATCGTTGGTTGCTTTACTGTGCATAAAGTTGTTTTCAATACAATACTTGTTAAATAAATATTGTGAACTATTTTGTAAATGAAGTGTATTATGTTGAAAGCTGTCAGCAGCTGTCAAAAATAAGCTTTTTTTGTTATTGTTGAAGATGAAGTGTGTTCGATGAAACCAAAAAGCCAAAAAAAAAGGTGATTTCATATATAGCACCTATTTGAATATAATCTTTCTTTTAACATTTCTTTTAGCATAGCCTTTTCAATGCTAAGAAAGAATTTCTGTAATATTTTGTTATGATAATGGTTTGATAACAAAGAAAATGGTAAAAGTACAAAGTGGGAAGATGTCTGGGTAACTTAGTGAGAGTTGCTGTGAAGCTTTGCAGAATGGAGGAGGCTCTGCCCATTGGCTGTCTCTCCCTCCAACTTCTCTACAGCCATGCCTAACTCTGAGGCACCCTACTACAGCAAGCTGCACCTTGGGTCACTCTTTTGGAATATTTTGACTATAGTGTGTCACAGGCAGAAAAGGAGTTGTTGGAAAATGGACTTTTAAAAACTGACATGTTTGAATCAGTGCTAGAGGGAACAGATTGTGAATTTTGTTTACAGCATCCAATATTTGGATTTTTTTTGTAAATAAAAAGAAGTTATTTTTTTCTATTGATTTGTGTCTGCTGTCTTTGTATTTGTGCTGGCTAAAAATGATGTCCTCAGAATCCCAAACCACGTCCATGTCCAAATTAGGAAGCATAAGGCAGTACATGTAGACTAACCTTCAGCAATATTCTCATTGGATTACAGTTAAACCAGCTTTAAGCCAGCCTATCTGACTAATCAATTAATTCCATAAGAATCTTGCCAACAGGTGACAAACATTTTTGTCTGTGTATGAACTTAGCAGTGTGAAATGACCCAGAAGACAGCTGGTTTTCAGTGTCATAGAGACCATGTCTTTTGAACTCCAGGGCTCTAGTAATTTTGAGTAGGCTTTGGTTTTCATGCTGTACCCAAGGGCTCTGATTCCATCACTGTGATTTATATGTTATTTGTTTGAGACACTATTGTGCTATGGGAGTGTTTGAGGGGAAGGCATTAAGTACTGGTAGCCAGGAATTGGAAGGGGAAGTTCCAGAGAAGGAAAAACAATCAAAGGACTTAATGTATTTTACCTTATATGTGCATGTGTGTGTGCATGTGTGCACTCCTGTGTGTGCACTCCTGTGTGTGCACTCTCTGGATGCTAAGGTTTCACTCTTTTTTAAAAATATTTATTTTTTGGTTATAACTGGACACAGTATCTTTATTTTATTTATTTTTATGTGGTGCTGAGGATCGAACCCAGGGCCTCCCACGTGCTAGGCGAGAGCACTCTACAGCTGAGCCACAATCCCAGCCCCAGGCTTCACTGTTTTGACTAGCATTTAATATAATCTCACCTCTTCACATTGCCAGGGGGTATGCATTAACTATTAATTCCATTTTTTTTTTTTGTCTAATTTTGGAGACTTTGTCAACACTAGGAGCTTGAGAGTTTGGTAAGCCTAGGCTACTATAGGGCACATTTGTGGTTTTAAAAACATTTAAAGCCTTGACGTTAGATAGAAAGCATGCTTGACATTACCTCTGTGAAAGAGGCACTCCTGGTATTAAAAACAAGTTTCCTTCTCATATGCATCATAAAAATTTCAAGGTAGTTATTTGGTTTGATAATGGTATTTGTCATTTTCTTCTTCCTTTGTTGCAACCTCTCCATTCTTTTACAGTCAGTCCTTCACATGTCTTTGGTAATCACATAATTCATTTTAAACAAGGGTTGAATAAGGATAGTATATATTAAACTCCTCCTAGACTTAGATACACCCTGCCATTTCAAGTTGAATTACCAGGCTGCACCCAACTAAGCCTGGAAAGAAGTAATCCACCCTCCTTTTCTTAGGGACCTCATTCCCTAAACATTTAGGTTCTTTAGTAAGAAAAAAAAATAAAGCACAAAATTTATACCCAAAAAACAAAAACAAAGGAAATTAAAATCATAGTCTTTAAATATAAAGAAGGATAGGTATTATTAAGGCCATCAAATACTTCTGAACCTAAACTATGATTTCCTCTTAGGAACTGAGTTCGACATCAATGATATGAATATACTTTGGTCAGTGGGCTAATATATTCAGGTAGGAAAGGGAAGAGAGAAGTGGTTTAATGTCAAAATGGCTTTCACTTAGCAGGACCTAGCTCTTAGTTTCTAATGATATTCTCCAATACAGTAACCAGGACTCCTCAGATAAGTGGCTGAATCTAAATCTAGAGCTGGAGAAGTAAATACACATACAAGAGGAACCTGGAGAATTTTTTTAGTTTCACAAAGCAATAATAGAAGGGGAGCATGTCAAAGAGATACAGGAGTGAACCAAAATAGTTCCAATGGACAAAGCTAGAGCAATTTGAGCAACAAAACAAATAACTAGTATTGGATTATAACCCAGAGTATAAAACGTCCACACTTTCACATTAGAATAAATACATGATTGAATGAATAAAGAGGTGAAAAGAGGGAAGAGACAAATTTTCTGTGTAGAATCCCAAATAATCAATGTAGATACTGCCCCCTCAAGGAGGTGGAGGTTAACTCCCCAAGTGTTTTGTGTGGTCTCTGCACTGGGACCCTTCCAAAGAGCACAGTATGGAAACCGAGAGAAAAGAGTAATGTATCAAGTGGAGAGACCCAACTAAGACTACCTAAGCCAGGTGATTAAGGTCAACATCAATAGTGGTAAGTCATGATGATAGTTTGTACCCTTATTATGATGGGACAAGAATGGCACTTGACACAGACTTCAACCAAGGGGGATTCTCTGACATACCAGATCAGTATTTCTTCAATCATTACAAGGAGATTCTGAAAACTGCCAAAGACAAAAAGAGCCTAACCAGACATGACAACTAAGTGCCATGTGGTATCCTAGAGAAGCACGTGGAACAGCAAAGGGCATCAGGTAAAACCTAAGGAAATCTGAATAAAGAGTTATGAAATGAAATGTTTCAATATGGTTCTTTAGTTGTGGTAAATGTACCATACTATTGTAGATATCACCAACAGGACAAACTGAGTATGGGGTATATGGACATGGAATCTCGGCATGATTTTCACATTTTTTTTTTCCTGTAAATCTAAAATTATTCTCAAAGAAAAGATTTATTGAAAAATGAAGAGTGTCACTTCCTGCTATTTCTAGGGGATATTTCATTTGTAAAATTAATAGTGAATTTTGTTTATAATGTCTTTGGACTTAAAAACATAAGGAGATCACAGAGTGTAATGTACTCAAAAAGTTTTAGAGAATCTTTAACTCCATGTTTTAGAGAAAAGAAACCAAGAGAAGGACAGATAAGTTTCATTGATCATGTTTTTCTGTAGAGCAGAAGGAATTAACACTCAAAAAGTTGTTAGGGAATTGTTTGCAAACGAGTGATAATACATTTTTTTTAACACTAAAAATGTCTAATATTTAGTGGAGAGTTCCAGGGAATTATTATTTAATATAATTCATAATTTATCTGCTTACCTATGCTTATCTTTCTGCAAACAGACTTTCTTGAATTGGAGGGAAACAAGTACTTCATATTACTTCCCCAACTTAATCACTGGCATTTATAATAGTTAAAAACACAGTTTGTACAAGTAGATAACCTTAGTAATTTTCAAATGCAATAATTCCAGCTCAGCAGTTTATGAAACCAGGATGAGAACCAAGCCTTCTTGCTCCGGGATGTGGAGCACCTTTAGCTCCAGGAATTTACGAGTATGGGGCTAAGTTGTTTCTAATGTCAATAATGGAAAATTCTCTCCAGGATCCCCTTCAGAAACTATTGATTTTCCAGCACAGTGTGTACTTATCAGTAATGCCAAGATTTTGTGGCATCATCTGGCCATGTCATTAGAAACCAGTTGAAATCCTATTCTTTTAATTTTTCTTCTTTGAGCAAAATTCAACATAATGAGCTTCACCAGGAACTGTGGAGAAGACTGTTCTCTGTTAATCCAGAATTATATATGCTCTGTGCTTTTTCCATATCTCTTTGAAGAAGATCAAGGAGATCATAGTTTATATGTTTTTCATTTTAATTGGGGATAAGTAAACTATCAAAAGCAGTTAAATGCCATTATTGAGTTCAATCATCAGAGAAAAGAAGAGAAACAAATTCAATCAGGTTCAAGGCATAAAGGTTGAGTTAGAGTTGCTAAATTAGGAAACAAAAATATATTATTTAATCTAAATTGATTTCAGAAAATAGTAATTTTTAAAAGTGTATTTCATGCAATTTTTAGTACACACTTTTACTAAAAAATTATCTCTATTTATCTGAAAGTCAAATTTAACTGGAGTCCTGTATTTTATTTTACCAAGCAATCTTAAAACATATTTAGGCTCGTGAAATACAGCACAAAAGAGCATTTTTAATTTGTTAATACCTATCTTTTAGGTAAATCTTACATTGACTTAGAATATCCATGACAGCAATGCTTCAAAACATGGTTCATTTATTAAATATTCCAAGAATGCCTTTTATGTGCTTAACCTTGTGTTAGTCCTGAGATGAGACTAAAAGAAGCAAAAGGCAAGTTTGTACCCTTTGACCAACCTGCCTTTCACATAAGATAAATAAGTTTTTGAGACCTAATGTACAACCTGGAGATTATATAGTTAATGTATTATATATTTGAAATTTGCTAAGATAATATATCTTAAGTATTCTCAGCAAACCCACATACAAAAAGAAAAAGAAAAGTGAGGTCATAGACATATTAATTAAGCTTGATTGTGATAATTATTTTACAATGTAGACATATCAAAATATCCCATTGTACTCCTTGAATGTATGCAAATTTTATTTGTCAGTTAAAGCTGAGGGAGGGGAGGGGAAAAAAAAGTGAAAGGTCTGTTCTATTACCCTCTAGAAGGTTAGGTTCTACTTGCAAGTAGGACTTGCTTGCTGAAAATGAATTTTTCCAGCTACCTTGGGGTTAATTACTCACCAGTCTTATCTCTGCATGGGGCACCATAAAGAACCCTGTGGACTAATGGAGAAACAACATGAGGGTAATAGCCCTTGAAATGTGCCTTCTTGGGACCTCACAGACATAGAGCTCCCAATAGGTAGCCCCTATGTAAAAATGTTCTGACTCTTTGCTGGACTCATAGCAAAAGATAAGGTTAGATGTTTGGATGTTTTGGCTGACAGAAGCAAAAATTCTCCTTGAGTCTCTGGGCACTGCATTTTCTTTTCAAAACTGCTGCAGAAATCTTTAGGACTTAACTAGAATGCACCTTGGAATTTTATTGCCTTATAACCCTGTTTGCCGCAGCACATTAAATTCCCTTAAATGTTTCTTATGTAACCAGTGCTGGTTAACTGTCATCTTGAAGTTAGTACAACTTAGTCTTTGCGGCCTTTTCCACAGTTGTGAAAGTTCCTTTCTCAGCTGTTTCAAATGCCTGAAACCACCCCAGAATCCAACCCCCTCCCAATTTGTGCAAAAGTAGTTGTGTTTTTAATCTGGAGTATTTCTTTAGTCAGGTTGCAGACCTGACTAAAAGAGGATTTGTGTCTGTCACTCTGGTCATTTGTGCACTCACCTGTACTGCACGGTAGGCAGAATCCACA